TCAAACCATATCTTGGACCCAAAGCTGATCATAACACCTAATGCTTTATAAATTTTCTTTTATTTATATTGTTACTTGACCAGATTAACTCTATATGTTGAGTTCAGATCTTCTTGTTAAGTCTTCTCTGTAAGGTCATCCCAATTGCTGTACTCCCAATGCATCTCAGTAGCATGGATTTACGAAGGATTATTTAATAACAGCTGCAGTGAAGTAGAGGCATTGACCATATCAGCAATCATAAGCATTGAAAAAGTAAAGACATGGATTGTTTGGAAAAGTAAATACATCTTGGTGGCAAGGGGTACATGTGCTCTAAATAGCAGCAGGAGAGTCTATGGAATTTTCCTTCAAGATTGTGTGCAGGGAGAAGTTGGACCTTACCGTGTACCACTACCTCTGGTCCTGGAAACTACACCACACTCTACCCTAAACCCTACCACTTCGACTACACAAGACCCCTGTAACACAAAAAACCCTCCTACACCAAAGGAACCTTATCTACCATACCTGCTGTGGGTAGGGACTTGCAGGACTGGTACAGAAACTTTGTATAAGGGGAAAAACTGATTACTCCATTAGGGGTTGAAAGGGCAAACACATAAATTTATATAATTGGGATAGAATGATAACTCATTCCATAAATGGAGGTTTCCAGTTTCACTAGTTCCAAGGTAGCCTTCATTCTGAAGCAGGCATTAATAACACTTCTAGGATGTTGAAATTTGCTGAACATTTACATACAAGGTACACAGACATCACTATCCCAGGATGATGTTGCCTTCTAGATGGTTTAGATTATTTAGATTGGACATAAGAAAGACATTTTTCACTATGATGGTGTGAGACACTAGAACAGATTGCTCAGAGAATTGTGGGTGCCCCACCACTGGAAATGTTCAAAGTCAGGTTGGACAGGGGCTTTGAGCAACCTGATGTAATGAAAAATGTTCCTGTACAGGGCAGGGGGAAGGGTATGAACTAGATGATCTTTAAATGTCCCTTCCAAACCAAACAATTTATGATAAAACATAAACATGGACAGCCAAGTCCCCTTCCTCCTCTTTGGATGGTAGAGACAGGTAGTGCAGGTGCACACTCACCACGTTCACAAGCACATATACACACATTCATGGATCCCTTGAGTACTGGTACGGTGTGTCTGCCCAACTGGCACCTCTGCCTGAATTCTGGCCCCATTACCTGCCCCACAGGTCCCCTACTCACAGGCTGGTCCAGCTTGATGCTTGCTGCAAATACACATGCCCCCCGCCACCCCAGTGCTTCTGAGCATACCACCAGGGATCCCTCCACCTGCCTGATACTTCATCCTGGTCCCAGTGCTCTCCTGCTCACCAGCTGGTCCAGTTTAAAGTTTGCTGGTGAATGCACACGCATACCCAGTGCCCATCAGGACCAGGGAAGATGTAGGCACTCATCCCACTCAGCCAGCAGCACCAGGCACAGGAGCTGTGACCCATGGTCCCACTCCAGCTGCTGGCACTGAGCCCCTCGCTTACCGCATTCACATCAGTCCCCCTCAGTAGCTCGTTTGGGGGCACACACCATTCCTGTCCCAGTGGCTGGAAGACAAAGACTCCCACTTGCTCCAGCAGCTGAGGCTAAGACCCCCCCTGACTCCAGTAGCTGACACCACAGGCCAGGGGCACCCACACCCCAAATCTAACTCCAGTAGCTGGCACCAATTTTCACTGATTCACACTCAGGTCTCACCAGTAGCTGACACTTAGTCCTTGCAGTACACACACACACAGAGGATGGAGACTGACAATATGCAGAGAGATAGTTAAGAAAAGATGTAATAAGAAGACATAAGATGATAGGACAGACTGCAGTTATAAGGAGCAGGGCTCAGGCAGACAAGTGAACTGACTGACTGTGTTTTACACACAACAGGCCCTGTACACCCCTCTTCTGTGTACCCTCCCCCTCAGCTGCCCTTCCCCTGTATGGCCCTTCAAGGATAGCTGTGATTCCATTAACTCCCTCATCCCTCCCAGCCTGGTGTCCCAGGTCCCTGAGCAGTTGCCAAGTCCTGGTTGGTCTTCCAGGAAGTGGCACCTGTAATTGCTTGATGGATTTTGCAGTTTAACCACGTTTTTGCAAAACAAAATAAGGAATTTATTCACTACTTCCCATCAGCACAAAGATGTCCAGCCCTCTCCAGGGCATGTTAGAGAAGCATGTTGAGTTCCTGGAGAGGGTTTGGAGGATTTCACCACCTTGTAGGTTCCTTGTAGGCACTTCCTTGCTTACAGCCACAGCCAAATTATTTAAGGGGCAGCTAGATGCAGACAGTGAAGCCACCTGTGGCTGAATGAGATGCCCCTCACTGCAGTTGCCTTCACATTAGGTGTCCAGCCTCAGCTTGTCACCTGTGCTCCCCCCCCCCCCCCCC